AAATTGACTAAAATGAATTATTCAAAACTATCTTTAAGAAATGAATTTTTAAATAGAAGGAAAACATTTGTGAACTTTTTGTCAAATAAGTGAGACCTAATATGAAAAAAAAAATCATTAAATATTTGTCAATCAAGAAAAATACACTACTTAGAGATAAGGCATAAAATATGTTATTCTTTTAATTGTGTTTGAACGTGAAAATATAGTTTAATTTTTTGTGAATGAGCTTCAAAAAGCTTTGTTTTTTTTCTTCATATGTGGCTAGTTTAATAAACAAAAACTAATTCAAAATAATCTCCAAATATAATTTCAAAATTTTGAAACAAAATCTATGGATAAAAAACGAACTTCATTTCAAATTAATTAATAGTCTTAGTAGACGTATGGTTGTAGATTATAAATATTTTTTATTTTAGTTAGAATTTATGGAGGAGTTAAAAATAGTTGTGCTTAGTTATATTTTTTGCAAAAAGTATTTAAAACAAGGGTAAAGGGTCAAATATGCCTCTAAACTATTCGAAAAGGTCTAGATATACCCTCCGTTTAAAGTTCGAAAAGGTCTAGATATACCCTCCGTTTGGCTCACTCATGCCCTCGCCGTCCAACTTTTCGTCTAAATATGCCCTTATGGGCGTTAGTTGGCCTGCTGGACATATCCAACTCATTTTCCATTTCTTTAAATGCCACGTGGAATTGCCATGTCATTTTGACTTTACCACATGTCATTTATATTAAAAATGGAAAGGGATCAATTATGCCCCTAAAAAATTCGAACTCATAAACACCTAATCCGACCCATAAATCAACCCCCCTTTTAAATAAACTACCCGACCCATTTTCAATAATTTTGTTTAAATTTTTATTTTTTCGATAAATCCCGAAAATTAGTAATTGATTAATAAAAAATAGGAAAAATATATAAAATTAACGCCAAAAATTCACAAATAAATATTGTAACCTTAAATTCAACAATTTTTTAAAATTTTTATTTTTTTTGGGTAAATCCCGAAAATGAGTAATTGATTAATAAAAAATATAAAATTAACGCCAAAAAATACAAAAAAATATAGTAACCTTGAATTAAAAAATTTCAACAATTTTTAAAATTTTTTTATTTTTTTCGGCAAATTTCGAAAATGAGTATTTTATTAAAAAAAATAAAAATTTAAAAAAATTGTTGAAATTTTTGAATTCAAGGTTACTATATTTATTTGTGATTTTTTGGCGTTAATTTTATATTTTTTATTAATCAATTACTCATTTTCGTGATTTACCCAAAAAAATAAAAATTTAAAAAAATTGTTGAATTTAAGGTTACAATATTTATTTGTGAATTTTTGGCGTTAATTTTATATTTTTTTCATATTTTTCCTATTTTTCATTAATCAATTACTAATTTTCGGGATTTACCGAAAAAAATAAAAATTTAAACAAAATTGTTGAAAATGGGTCGGGTAGTTTATTTAAAAGAGGGGGTTGATTTATGGGTTGGATTAGGTGTTTTTGGGTTCGAATTTTTTAGGGGCATAATTGATGCCTTTCCATTTTCATATAAATGACATGTGGTAAAGTCAAAATGACATGGCAATTCCACGTGGCATTTAATGAAATGGAAAATGAGCTGGATATGTCCAGCAGACCAACTAACGCCCATAAGGACATATTTAGACGAAAAGTTGGACGGCGAGGGCATGAGTGAGCCAAACTTTAAACGGAGGGTATATCTAGACCTTTTCGAATAGTTTAGGGGCATATTTGACCATTTACCCTTAAAACAATACTAATATTCATATAAATCATACATGCATGTACTTAAATACAATTCATAAAAGTAAACTGTTAGTTGGAAAACATGCCATAACCCGTTTTCAAATTTGAAATACAACTTCGAGTTGAATTTAAAAAAAATCATAGCCAAATATAAGTTTTCACTTTAAAAACAAAAATTACCTTCTTAAAAAACTTCACAATAAAATATGACCAAATGCCCACAAAACTTTAAACAGAATTTTTACCCAATGTGTATACACCATCTTCTTTGAATGTAGCTAACTCGTGAGATTTTACCGAATACGTTGTTTCAGTGCTTACTCATAATTTGACTTTAATAGACTTCCTTTACAAGAAAATTACTAAACCCACAATACACATTACCTACGTGTGTCATCTTATTAGTGACTTTATTTAGTGGGCCCAACCCTTATCCGCTCCTAACGAACACCTACATCAAATCAAATTCAAATCGCCCTCTTTGAATTACAGAGTAACGGCTTCTTCTTCGTTTTCTTGAAGAAGAGTTGATAAGGGTTTAATTTTTCGATCGTTTTACATTACAAGGAGGATATGAGTGACGACCCAGAATAGGTGTTCCTCTGTTTTGAGTGCGGCGGTAAAGAGACAAGTAATTTATCGGGGTTGGAGAATAATCAGATAAGAGAATTGAATGCTGGAGCTTCCATAATCAGACAGATCTCGAATCATATAGCTATATCTGCCCGCAACTCGATTTCTACTTCCTCCAAACTTGTGAGTCTTTCTCTGTTTTTTTTTTTACTGTAGGAAAATAATTGGAGTATTGGGTTTTATTTATTTTTTTTGTATTTTTTTTATTACTGGTTTGATAATTCACTTTTTTGTATGTTGGTTATGGGGTTTCTTGCGTAAATTTGCGTATGCAAGGAAAGTGTAGGTGTGTTTTGTGGGGTGGGTTTTTCTTTCTTGGATAAAATAGGTAAAATGGTTAATGTTTAAGATATTGGGTACAAATCAATTTGTATAAAATCAAGTGAAGATCTGAGGGATTTCATTTTTGTTTTTTGGTCGAGATTGTGATATTTGGAAGTTGAATTCTTTGTTTATTGTGATAAACAAGTTCACTGTACATTGTGATCATAAACAAACACAACATTAATCGAAGAATCCATAATTTGATTAAAAATGAAAGTAACTATAGGTCTTGAAAGACGAACAATACATCATCTTCAAGCAATTGGTCAAGATTTGGTTATCCTTCAAACAAGAGGATCTTCCAGTTTAGCAGTCGATTAATCTTTTATGCGCGGATACATGGCTTTTTTACCAAGCTGATTTTGTGCCCATATTAGCATCTACAAAAGGCTTTGGAAGCTTTTAAATCAAAGATTAATCATAAAAAAAATAACATTTCATACCATGAAGCTACTAGTGGTCTTTAGCCGCTGTGATACATCCAGAAGCTCTCCAATAGGGCAGTTGGATACATCTTCAAAGGCCAACAGTGCAACAGTCTTCTCCAACTCTTCTAAGAAGCTTTGCTGCAGAAAAGAAATTAAATTCATCATGTACTAAAGAGGTGGGTTACACATAGGATTGCGTCAACCAAAGCTTTTTTTTTCCAGAGTAATCAGAAACAGAAGTTGATTTTTCCCATGTCCCATAACGCTCGGCAGCCTTCCACTCCAAGGGAGGCCGACCAAGAGAAAGGAACCCCTAGCGTTGGAAGCTTAGGGATGGAGAGACAGGGAAAGATCACTTCGAAATTCAGCAATCTTTAATCTTTTGAGAGACCGTAGGCTTTTTCAGCATCCACACATCAAAATTCTCCGGACATAGGATCATCGGACAATTATGATGTGGACCAGTGGCATTCTAGATTATTATTTTCAGTGTTAACATGAATTCATGCTTTTTGTCTTCTTAAATGATTTTAGTACTGTTCTTAATTTGTTAGGGAAAAGATTTATCTTTAAACAAATGAGTAGAAGAAGTTAAGCAACTTTTGATGGTTTTGAGTTATCACAGTTTTATGAACCTTTTATTTAATAAGCTGTTTTGCAATGTGAGTAAATTGAAAAAGATTGTTTCTTGTATCTAAAGTTGTAACTAAGATCACTGCTATTCCTCTTCCTGCCACTTGCAGATGGATCATTACTCTCCATGGATAGTATACTCAGTTATCATCATATAGAAATGACATAAATAATATATAAGTCACACTAATTAATAATTCAAAATAGTTAAACTATATTAAGAAAAATGGCAAGGAAAAGATAAAAAGTCCTATGAATATGCAAATAGTAATTGTCCACATAAAGTGGAGTTGATGGATTACTATTTTGTCAATGTAAGGTCATTCATTTTAGTAGAATAGTTTTAAAAACTTGTTACTACATTGGTAAAAGTTTGTCTCAACTTTCTTATTTTAGGTGAAAAAGGTATGTCTAAGTTGAAAAAAAGTAAGAATAGACAGACTTGTCATCAGGCTTTAATATTTGGATGTGTATTTACAGTACTTTAATATGTAGGGCTCAAAGGAAGGGCTAAGAGAAGTAGCAACAGAAGAAGATGAAGAGGAGGAGTTGAAGGCTGTAAAAGGAAAATGCATCCCAAGGAAAAAGTCTTCTTCTAAACACTCCAAAAAGTGACCTTTTTTCTGCTCTTTCACCAATAAGCTTTTCTTTGGGGCTTTTAGTTGGAACTTAGTTATAAAAGTACTGTTTTAGGCTTAGGTTTTAACTCTTCAAACACTTCTTGTGGTAGGGTTCTTAAACTTAGTTTCATTAGAATTCAGGAAAACTAAGAAAGTGCGATGAAATGAATGATTTCTTATTTATCTTTTGCACTCTCTAAATCAACAACCTAAAAAAAAATTTCCATCCGATGTTCGGAGTCTGCATTGGTGTCTCAAATAAATTTAGATCGCGCATTGTAGGGTCCTTTCGGAATTGACGCTCCCAACATGATTTTTTCCATACTTAGAACTTCTGGCCTGCCCAAGGTTTGTTCTTGTTTTTTAATGCATCTGTAGCCTTCAGTATCTGTTGCACTGATATCTGCTGCACTGATATCTGCTGCTAACTTTAGACTAATGAGACTCACACAAAGCAATTGACAATCTACACTACCCAAAACTCCGGACATTGGGTGGTGGTTGATGTATTGATTTGGGTGACCACAATTTTAGTATTTAGAAAAACAGTTTTTAAATTTGGCAAGAAGGTCTTGTGATTGCATACTTGTGAGTTATCATCAACCTGGACCCCTGAAGTTTCCTCCTATCGGGTATAAGTTGTCTCCATCATATTATGTACTTCTGTTTGTGAATTTGATGTTCCCTTCTAATGTAGGTTGGGAAAATATCGTCATATAATTCTGAAGCAAATAGAGTTTTACTGATGCCAGTAGCTGAATTTCCAGTCATTTGTACTAAGGATGAGTCTTCAAAGCAACCAGATAGCTCTATTTATAATGAAGACGGATCTCCGGAGGTACTTCAGTAAAATTGACTCACTCCTATGCGTGGTGATCTATATTTTATGCATATTTCGAGTGAACTTAAGTTGCCATCCTCTGGGATGCAGAGTCCATAGGTTTAATGCATATGGCCCTTCTCAATACAAAACCACGCCTTTTTGCAGATAGAATTTTCAGCATACTGAAACTTATGAACAAATATCGATGAGCTCAGTAATTCGTTAGTTTGATGTGGAGCTTGTTTGATGTATAGGTTGCCTAGGAGTACAAGCCCAGACACTCTGCATTTGATTGATGGACAGGCGCAACAACTAAAGTTGCTTGGAGTAGCTTGCATGATGACCTTGATGTGGAGCTTGTTTGATGTATAGGTTGCCAATGAGTACAGGCCCAGACACTCTGCATTTGATTGATGGATAGGCGCAACGACTACAGTTGCTTGGAGTAGCTTGCATGATGACCGCATCATCGTAAGAAACTACCTTCTGACCTCTACTGCATATGTTTTTGCCATGATCTTAACATTTTTTTCCTTATGATCATGCTATGGTGAGTAGCTTGCATGATGACCGCATCACGATGTTTACGGCATCTTTTTCTTTGTATAGTAGACAAGTAAAGATCCATAGACAAAAGGAGTATAAAATTAATTTTCTATGATCAGGATAGTTAGAGTAATGGATCATATCATATCCTAATATAGAAACCTAAGTCAACTTAAACTGCTGAATTGGGTCACACTTTTATGAGTCAAAATCCACACTTTGTGACACTCAACAATCCTCTTCTGGAACATTAATGTTTTGCATAAGTTGAACAATAAAATGAATACTTTTTGTTTTGTTTCTACTTAGTGTCGATTGGTATCTGTTTCTGGGTTAGTTAATTAATTTGCACCAAAAAATATTTTAGAAAATTAAGTATCATCTAACAAAGTTGATTTCATTCTCAAAATTTGAACATAAATATTTTTCTGTTTAAAGATAAAAGGGACTTATCTCGGATGGATCCAACAATTAATTGCTTGCGGGTTCATGATAAACCAATAATTTTTGCTAAAACTATTAAAATATTCATTAAATATTTATGAATATTAAACTGTGAACACGATTATTATCATATATTAAAACTTGAAGAAACTCCACATTCAGACTGAACACTTGCAATTCTAGAATATGTAATGAGATAAGATGTACATGATCAGTCCAATCAGATAATTATTGATCATAACACATAAGGAGCGGTTAGTCTATATAGCTACTTAAACAAACATGGTTTCAGATTCTAGCACCAAACCTTTTTCTTGTTCAGTCTTGTCAGATTATGTCACCTTTCCTAATGAAAACATAAACAGTAGTTAAACATTGCAGTGGCACCTTTCCTAATGAAAACATATAACACTTACCTATTATGCAGGTGTTGAAAATGGAGTCGAGGCGAGGGCGGGAGGCATACGGTGCCTCGAGGTGGGGGGTGGGGGAGGGCCTTGGGGTGTTGTGCCTCGAGGCAAAGGGTAGGGGTGGGGGAGGGCCTCGGTGCCTCGAGGTAGGGGGTAGAGGTGGGGGCCTAGGGGAGTGGTGCCTCGAGCCGGGGAGTGATGAAGGGCCTCGGGGAGTGGTTACTCGAGGCGGGGGGTGGGGGATGGCCTCGGGGATGCGTGCTTTGGGGTGCGGTGCCTCGAGGCGGGGGGTGGGGGAGGCCTCAAGGTGTGGTGCCTCGAGGCGAGAGGAAGGGGTGGGGGACCTCGGGGTGCGGTGCCTCGAGGCGGGAGTGGGGTGGAGGGCCCTTGGGAGCGATGGGGGAGGGGGGATTCGGGGAGCGGAGCCTCGAGGTGGGAGGTAAGGGGACGAAGGCGCGGAGAAGGAAGCCCCAAGGCGGGGGGTGGGGGAAGCCTCGGGATGCGGAAGCCTGAGGCAAGGGGGACTGGGGGGACTCGGTAGAGAGTGGTGGAAGCCTCGGGGTGCGGAGCCTTGAGGCGGGGTGGGGAGGTCTCAGTGGGGAGTGGGAAGCCTCGAGGCGAGGGCTGGGGAAACCTCGAGGCGGGAGGTGGGGGAAGCCTCGGGGCGGGGGGTGGGTAAAGCCTCTGGCGCGGAAGCCTCAGGCAGGGGCAGTGGGGCCTCGGTGGCGGGAGGGCAAAGCCTCGGGGTGCGGAGCCTCGAGGCAGGGTGGGGTGGCAGGGGGGTCTCGGTGGGTAGTGGGGATCCTCGAGGCGGGGGGGCTCAGTAAGGGGTGCGGAGCCTCGAGGCAGAGGGTGGGGGAAGCCTCGGGGTCGAAGCCTTGAGGCAGGCGGGGGGCCTCGGTAGGGGGTGCAGAGCCTCGAGGCAAGGGGTGGAGGGACTCGGAGGGGGGGTGGGAAAAGCCTCGGGGTGCGAGGCCTTGTGGCAGGCAAGGAGGCCTCGGTAGAGGATGCGGAGCCTCGAGGCAGGGGGTGGGGGAAGCCTCGGGGCACGAAAGCCTCTAGGCGGGGGAAGGGGGGCCTCGGGGAGCAGAGCCTCAAGGCGGGGGCAGAGGGGAAGCCTCGAGGCGCGTAAGCCTCAAGTTGGGGGGTAGGTGAAACCTCGGGAAGCGGAAGCCTGAGGCGAGGGGTGGGGGAATCCTCGAGGAGCAAAAGCCTCGAGGCGGGGGGTAGGGGAAGCCTGAGGCGCAGAAGCCTCGAGGCGGGGGGTGAGGGAAGCTTGAAGCGGGGGAAGCCTCGGGGAGCGGAGCCTCGAAGCGGGCACAGAGAGGAAGCCTCGGGGCGCAGAAGCCTCAAGGCGGGGGAAATGGGGCCTCATGGAGCGGATCCTCAAGGCGGGGGGCAAGGAAGAAGCCTTGGGGCGTGAAAGCCTCAAGGCGGTGGGGCCTCGATAGAGGGTGCGGAGCCTCGAGGCAGGGGGTGGGGGAAGCCTCGGGGCACGAAAGCCTCTAGGCGAGGGAAGGGGGGCCTCGGGGAGCAGAGCCTCAAGGCGGGGGCAGGGGGAAAGCCTTGAGGCGCGCAAGCCTCAAGGTGGGGGGTGGGTGAAACCTCGCGGAGCGGAAGCCTGAGGCGAGGGGTGGGGGAATCCTCGAGGAGCAAAAGCCTCGAGGCGGGGGGTAGGGGAAGCCTAAGGTGCAGAAGACTCGAGGCGGGGGGTGAGGAAAGCCTGAGGCGGGGGAAGCCTCAAGGCGGGGGAGTGAGGAAAGCCTTAGGCGAGGGAAGCCTCGAGGCAGAGGGGTGAGGGAAGCTTGAAGTGGGGGAAGCCTCGGGGAGCGGAGCCTCGAAGTGGGCACAAAGAGGAAGCCTCAGGGCGCAGAAGCCTCAAGGCGGGGGAAAGGGGGCCTCATAGAGCGGATGCTCAAGGCGGGGGGCAAGGGGGAAGCCTCGGGGCGTGAAAGCCTCAAGGCGAGGGGTGGGTGAAGCCTCGGGGAGCGGAAGCCTGAGACGGGGGATGGGGGAAGCCTCGGGGAGCAGAAGCCTTGAGACAGGGGGTGGGGGAAGCCTGAGGCGCAGAAGCCTCGTGGCAGGGGGGTGAGGAAAGCCTGAGGCGGGGGAATGAGGGAAGCCTCGGGGAGCGGAGCCTCGAAGCGGGAACATGGAGGAAGCCTCGAGGGGGTGAGTCAAGGCAAGGCATAGTAAGCCTCAGGTCGCGGAGCTTATAGGCGGAGGGTGGGGTAAGCCTCGGGGCGCAGAGCTTTGAGGCGGGGGGTAGGGGAAGCCTCGGGGAGTAGAGCCTCGAAGCAGGGACAAGGGGAAGCGTCGGGGTGCGGAACCTCGAGGGAGGCGTAGGGAAACCTCCAGGTGCGGAGCCTCGAGGCAGGGGGGTGGAGTGGACTCGAGGTGCGTAGCCTCGAGGTAATTGGTGGAGAGGCCTCGGGGTGCGCAGCCTTGAGACAGTGGGTAGAGGGGCCCCGGGTACGTAGCCTCGAAGCAGTGGGTGGGGGGCCTCGGGTGCAGAGCCTTGAGGCGGGGGTGAGGGTGCCTCGGGGAGCAGAGCCTCGAGGCGGGAGGTGGCGGAAGCTTCGGGGAGCGGAGCCTTGAGGCGGGAGTAGGGGAAGCTTCGAGGAGCGGAGCCTGGGTGGGGGAAGACTTGGGGAGCAAAAGCCTTGAGGCGGGGGTGGGGGAAGCCTGAGGCGCAGAAGCCTCGAGGCGGGGAGGTGAGGGAAGCCTGAGGCGGGGGGCTGAAGGAAGCCTCGGGGAGCGGAGCTTCGAAGCGGGAACAGGGAGGAAGCATCGAGGGGGGGAGTCAAGGCAAGGGTGGGGTAAGCCTCAGGGCGCGAAGCTTATAGGCGGAAGGTGGGGTAAGCCTCGGGGCGCAGAGCTTTGAGGCGGGGGGTGAGGGAAGCCTCGGGGAGTGGAGCCTCGAAGCAGGGACATGGGGAAACGTCGGGGTGCGAAACCCCGAGAAAGGCGTGGGGAAGATTATAGGCGGAAGGTGGGGTAAGCCTCGGGGCGCAGACCTTTGAGGCGGGGGGTGGGGGAAGTCTCGGGGAGTGGAGCCTCGAAGCAGGGACAAGGGGAAGCGTCGGGGTGCGGAACCTCGAAGAAGGCGTGGGGAAGCTACCAGGTCTAGAGCCTCGAGGCGGGGAGTAGGGGAAGCCTCGATGCGGGGGGGTGGAGGAAGCTTCGGGGTGCGTAGCCTCGAGGCAGTGGGGTGGAAGGGACTCGGGGTGCGTAGCCTCGAGGCAGTGGGTAGAGGGGCCCCGGGGTACGTAGCCTCGAGGCAGTGCGTGGGGGGGCCTCGGGTGCGAAGCCTTGAGGCGGGGGTGGGGGTGCCTCGGGGAGCGGAGCCTCGAGGCGGAAGGTGGCGGAAGCTTCGGGGAGCGGAGCCTTGAAGCGGGAGTGAGGGAAGCTTCGAGGAGCGGAGCCTTGAAGCAGGGAGTGGGGGGGCCTCGAGGCGGTGGGGTGGGAAAGGGAGTTTGGGGACGGGATTGGGAGGGGGAGCCTCGAAGCGGGGACAGAGAGGAAGCCTTGGGGACTGGAGCCTCGAGGCGGAGAGTGGGGGAAGCGTCGGGGTGCGGAGCCTCGAGGTGGGGAATAGGGGAAGCCTCGGGGTGCGGAGCCTCGAGGCGGGGGTTGAAGAAAGCCTCGGGGTGCGTAGCCTCGATGCAGGGTGAGTGGAGGGGATTCGGAGAGCGGAGCCTCAAGGCGGGGGCATGTGGGGGCCTCGGGGTGCGGAGTATCGAGGTGGGAGGGGGGGTCTCTGGGAGCGGAGCCTCGAGGCCGGGGGGTGGGGGAAACATCGAGGAGCGGAGCCTTGAGGCGGGGAGTGGGGAAAGCTTCGGGTAGCGGAGCCTTGTGGCGGTGAATTGGGGGGAGGGGGGCTTCGAGGCGGTGGGGTGGGAGGGGTTGGGAGAGGGGGCTAGAAGGGGGTTGGGGAGTCCCGGAGAGCTGTTCCTTGACACTAGTGGATTGGGGAAGCTCGGGGAGCGGTGCCTTGATGAAAGGGGATTGGGGAGGCTCGGGGAGCGGTGCCTAGAGGCGGGAGGCGGGGGGTGCCTCTGGGAGCGATTCCTTAAAGCGAAGGGTGCCTCGGGGAGGGTGCCTCGAGGCGGGAGGTGGGGGGTGCCTCGGGGAGTGGTGCCTCGAGGCGGGAGGTGGGGGGTGCCTCGGGGAGCGGTGTCTCGAGGCGGGAGACGCGAGGTGCCTCAGGGAACAATACCTCGAGGCGAGAGACGAGAGGTAGAGAGACCTTGTTGTGCGGTGCCTCGAGGCTGGAGTTTGGGGTAGGGGGTCCCCGAGGTGCGGTGCCTTGAGGCCGGAGGCGTGCGTAGGGGGTCCTCGGGGTGCGGTGCCTTGAGGCGGGGTGGGGCGGGCCTCAGGGAGCGGTGCCTCAAGGCAAGGGTGTGGACCTCGAGGCGGGGGTGGGGGGTGCCTCGGGGAGCGGTGTCTCGAGGCGGGAGACGCGAGGTGCCTCAGGGAGCGATACCTCGAGGCGAGAGACGAGAGGTAGAGAGACCTTGTTGTGCGGTGCCTCGAGGCTGGAGTTTGGGGTAGGGGGTCCCCGAGGTGCGGTGCCTTGAGGCCGGAGGCGTGCGTAGGGGGTCCTCGGGGTGCGGTGCCTTGAGGCGGGGTGGGGCGGGCCTCAGGGAGCGGTGCCTCAAGGCGAGGGTGTGGACCTCGAGGCGGGGGATGGGGTGGTGGGCCTCGAAGCGTGCCGGTGCCTCGAGGTGGGAGAAGCGGGTCTCGGGGTAGGGGGCTCGGGGGATGTCCTCAAGGCACGGAACCTTGAGGGGGAGGGGTGCTTAACTTTAGTGTTTTCGTTTTCTATGGAAATACTTTCACAAACAGTGTTTATAACCATAAAAATTCTTAGCCAATTGTTCAACAACCGGAGGAGCAAAAGACGACAATACAGATTCAGACGATCGGTCCAGAGCATATTTCTACTATATAGAAATGCCAAGCCATGGACGACCAATGGCAATGTAGTAAATATGCTCATCTTCAAGGGCAATGCACATACTCCATCTTTCTTTTTCCATAGGTTGAAACTTTCTTTCCCCTCACATTATATATTAAGGGAGAATGAGATGACACAGCAAAGTAGGCAAAGTGATCAAGATGAGCTTGGAAGCCTATGCCCTAGCTACATTAGGATAATTTTTTTGAAACTTATAAGGGATGGCTGAGGTGTTTGACAAAAATTCAAAAGAGAAAAGACAGATTCGGTCATCAGCAATCTTCGTGTTTGGTAAGCTATATAAATCATCTTTCACTATATTTTATTTATTTATTTCAATTTTTATCATTTCCATTCCCTTTTGTATGAACTGAACTTCAAAATCTCTAACTGTACTATCTACTTCTATTCCAATACTTTGTTTAGTAGTTGTTATCCTTTTGGGTGTATGTATGTGTTCGTTAATGAAAGTTAGTGCATTCCTTCGTTGGTTTACTGCTTCTTTCTTTTTCTTGTTCAAAATATATTTTGTAGTTCTGAGTCGATATTTAAACTTAGGAAGAAAAACCTCCAACTAATAGAGGCACCATGTTAGTGATAATTTCTTCCCTTTAGCATAAGGATATTCCTAGGATGATTGAGGTAGGTAGGTAGAATTATCAGATTCTTGTGTTGGTGCATTGTCGAGGTTAGTGCAAGGTGGCTCAACAATTGGAGAACACTCTAGAAAATTCTGTCATATCTTCCAACTCCACAGGCATTCAATCTCTTAAGAATAATATTATGTGAGGTATTGCTTATGTTCTAAGCTACAGTCCTATCGCTGCCTACTAGTGAATGAGAGAATGATCAGGCCAATAAAATGTCTAGCAACTGGATGTAGGATAAGGCAACACTTTGGATCCTCCCTACTTGCAGAATGAATGGATCAGATATGGGCTAAAATTCTTTGTTTTTGGACAGGGGTGCTTCCATAAAAGAAGATTACCCTAGAGTAAGGAAGAGGGGGAAAAGTGTTGTTAGAAATTCAGCCTGGCTCAAAGAATTAATCTCGCTATTTAGCCCATCGTTCTGTCAACAAATATCATCTTTGACAATTTTCCATTCCTTCCCTGCCCCTCGTTTCGCCATTCAATTCTTCTGCCTTTTGAACAAGTGTTTGCGCAGGATGTGTATTTTCTTTTTTGTTACAAGTTCATCGACCCTACCACACTAGGAGGAGACTAAACATGCAATCATTTGTTCAAACATATTAAGTTGCTATACACTTAAATGATCTGATCATTCTTCTTATCTTCATTTTTTATTTGTAGCGAGATTTAATAGTGTAAGCATATGTGGTTTTTCTATTGAAGGATATTTGACGTTCACCACTTGTTTAAAAAAATGTCTTAGCTAGAAAAATTATATTTTGTTTACATTATTAAGTAAAATTTGAATTTTGTGTACTCCTTTAAATTCCATGAATGTTTAGAATTGTACAATAGATCTGGTGTTGTCTTGTACCACTTCTCATGTTAACATGTATTGAGTGAGCTCTTTGCCCTCAGATTTTTTTTTTATTTGCTCATGTTTTAGTTTTGCTTATGATTTTAAAGATTTCAATTTTCTCAACCTTTGCATTATATAACTAAATCTGTTGTCTTAATGGTGAACTCTCTGTGTTTTGCACATCTAGACCCCTTAACTCCATGGAATGGAGAGTCGATATGTCACAATTTTATATAGGAAACAAGTTTGCTTCGGGAAGGCATAATAGAATGTACAAGCACAGGAAATTTGGCTATTAAACTCATAAGCCTACCTGAAGAATATGGAGACTTGGCTACTTTTCTGGGGAAGCAGTTTACCTCTGAGGTTGCTTCGGTTAAAGCATCAAGATATCTTTACAGTAAGCATGATTTCCCATTTTCGTACATTTTCTGTTGGTTTTCTATTGATCTATATTTTCTATGTTTGCATAACTTATAAAATTATCTGTATTTTTAAATAAAACTGATTAATAATAGTAAGGAAGGAACTTGGATTACTTTTTGATACTCAAATGACTGTTCCAAAATGTTATAGAGGGAACTTTGCATCTAATATGTAGAGTACCAACTCGAATATGAAAGTTAAAGGGATCAAAATATGAATGACACTCTGTATCGGCTCTGAATCATATAGTTGTAAACTTGTAATGAAGTATACGATCAAGCTATATCTATCGAATTTGGAGATAAATGTTTGTTGTCCCAACCATTCTTTTGTCCCAACTCCCCTAAGGAAAGGGCTGACATAGAACCAAATTTTTGTGTTGTTTGTTCTCTCCAAAGTATTGTATTCTTGTAATACATTTTACCTTCGGTTAAATGAAAGAGGTCGGGTTGGCATTCCTTAACTATGAAGGGATTTTTGTTTCTCAAGTATTGCAAGTTCATAATCTGATTGTACTTTATCTTGAACTCATATAAGATGTTTAAGTTTAGAAATTAATTAACAGTGCCGATGTTAATAAATCCCCCTTCCAGATCTCAATTGTCAGGAAACCATTCAGTGCATAACTATCTGAATAGTTATTTATGTTATTGTTCCCTTTCCCAATAAATAGTTGTCAACTTGGCATGAAAAGATGCAAGTCTCTTATCATTTTTTTTTTTTAAAAGTAAAGCACCAAGAACCTGAATCCATCAACTAATGAAGGTAATTTTGAAATGTAAAGATTGTGTTATATCCACGACCTGACTTATGTTGCTTGGATCCTCCAAAATGTTGTTGCAACTGTTTTATATCGTCAAATATTATTAACTTTATCAATTCTTGAGTCAAACATGTGTACACAGTGAATTATA